TGGGGACGGTGGTGACGGGGACAGTGGTGAGGGGACAACGGGACAGTGGTGGGGACAGCGGGACAGTGGTGTGGACGGTAGTGGTGGGACAGTGGTAAGGACAATGGTGGGAACAGTGGGGACAGTGGACAGTGGTGGGGACGGCGGTGGTGGGGACAGTGGTGTGGGGACAATGGGAATGAGGTGGAAACAGTGGGACAGTGGAGGGTACAGTGGTGGGGACAGTGGTGAAGGCGGTGGCGAGGACGGCGGTGGGACAATGGGACAGAGGTACAGCGGGGACAGTGGTGGGGACAGTGGGGACAGTGGTGGGAACAGTGGGACAGCTCAGTGGGACAGCGGAGGAGTCAGTGGGACAGCGGGGACAGTGGGGATAGTCGGGCAGTGGTTGGGGCCGTGGAGAAAGTGGGGAGAGTGGAACCGTGGTGGGAACAGTGGTGGGGACAGTGGGGACAGTGCGACAGTGGTGGGGGGCACCGGTGGGGACAGTAGGGACGGTGGTGGAGCCAGTGGGGACAGTGGTGGTGAGGACAGTAGCGCTGGGAACAACAGTGGGGGATGTGGTGCGGACGGTGGTAGGGACCGGGAGTCGTTTGCTGGCGGTGAGTGGGGGGGGTGGGGAGGGGTTCGAACCGGTAGTGACCCCCCCTCCGGTTTTCGAAAGGGGGGGCGGGGCTCGAACCGGTAGTGACCCCCCCCGGCTTTCGAGGGGGAGGGGGGGGGGGTTAGGGGAGAGGGGGGGGGTGACATTGCTCGGGGAAGGGGGGAGGGGGGGGGAGGGGTTCCAGCAGGGAGGGGGGGATTTTCGGAGGGGGGGGGGGGCCTCCGGGTTCCGGAGGAAGAGGGGGGCAATTGTCCACAGTAAAGCGGCGGTGGATCACGCTCTCTCTTATATATACATGTGTGTATCTATGTGTATATATATATAACTATGTATATCGATACGTCTCTCTCTCACTCTCTCTCTCTCTCTCTCTCTCTATATATATATATATATATTGGCCTAGCGAAGAACCCAAACATATGCAATTATGGGTACAACCGCTGTACGCAACGCATTCGGTGGGGCTCCCTTTGAGGCCGCGAAGCGTGTGAGAGGTATGCCAAACTGGGCGCGGTGGACGCATGCGAACGCTTGCATTTGGGCCTTTGGTGGGGCTCCCTATGGAGCCGCGAAACGTGTGACGGGTGTGCCACAATGGGTGCGGTGGGCGCATGCGAACGCTGGCATTTGGGCCTTCGGTGGGGCTCCCGATAGGGCCACGAAACGTGTGACGTGTGTGCCAAAATGGGCGCGGTGGGCGCATGCTAACGCTGGCATTTGGGCCTTCGGTGGGGCACCCGATGGGGTCACGTCCCGTGTGAAGGGCGTGCCAAAACGGGTGCGGTGGGCGCGCGCGAACGCTGACACTTGGGCCTTCGGTGGGGCTCCCGATTGGGCCACGAAACGTGTTAGGGGTGTACCAAAATAGGTGCGGTAGGGGCATGCGAACGCTGGCATTTGGGCCTTCGGTGGGGCTCCCTTATGAGGCCACGAACGTGGGAGGGGCGTGCCGAAATGGGTGCGGTGGGCGCACGCGGACGCTGGCATTTGGGCCTTGAGGAGGGAGGGAGGAGAGGCGGAAAGAAGGGAGAACGCGGGGACCGTGTCTTCAAAACGAGGACCCAACACCACAAGATGGCTGGGGACAAAACTTCGGGGGTATTGGAATCTCGGGTGAGTGGGCCCGGGAAGCGCAAACGCGGGTGTCAAAGGTAGCTCGCCGCAGGGCATTTCTGATATGGCCAAAGGGCTGTCGTAACCGTCGAAAAATCCGGTATGAGCATAAACTGCGTTAGGATTCGGCAGCAAGAGGAAAGCCGACAAATTCCAAAATGCACCCGACGCGTACAGTACCAGATTTTGCACGTTCAGGTCGATCTGGCTGTTCTTGACGATGGACTCGTTGCGTACACTGCACAAGGTCGTGATGACAACGCTGATGAAGTTGTTTCAACTGCCTCCCTATGATCATGTCTCCTTCGCTGTTCCTCACCCACTCTCCTGACCCATCCCTCCTTCCCCCTCAGCTTTCCTCTTGCATTCTTCTCTCTCTCCCGCCCCTCCCCCCTCCTGCTACACTCTCCCGCATTCCCTCCCTCCCTGCCTCCCTCCCTTCCCCCCCCCCTCCCCCTTCTCTTCGTCCCTGCTCACTCTCCCATCGTTATCCCTGCCTCCGTATCCGCCCCCCCCCTTCTGCCCCAGTCCCCACCCCGCCGCCCACGTTAATTTGTCCCTCCTCTCCATACAGCCATCAGTTCTCTGTCCCCCCCTTCGCGTTACCTCTCCCCCCGTGCCACGCGAAATGATCGAACGTTCCCCCCTCTTCCCCTCCCCGGACCCCCGCCCACCCCCTCCCCCGTTCATCCCCATCTCTCCGCTCTCCAAGAATAGCTTGTGAAGGGATCTCTCCTTGCTAAGCGTGGGCTTTGGCTGCAGGCGAAACAGAAAGATGGGGGGAAGGGGAGCTAGGAGAGGGAGGGGAAGGGGGAGGTAAGGATGAGCCGTTCTGCACTACTGGCGCCGACTGCTGTTTGGGGGACACTAAAGGACAGGAGGGTGGATGCCGCGCTGGTTTTCACGGCGGGCCCCGACGTGGACGACGACCGCACCTCAGGGTTGGAAGGATTTTGCTAGCATCAACCACTGAAACCACACTGTACGCAACACAACAGCCTGAGCTGCCTGAGCTGCACACGACCCAACAACCCACACCCACAGCAGCCAGCCTGAGCTGCCGACCTGGGAGGTGAGCAGGAGGGAGGAGGGAGGAGGACCAAGACGAGGACCAGAGGCGCAAAACATGGGCAGAGAAGACGGAGGAGGAGGAGGAGCGGCAGTAGCCGCAGCAGGACCTGGAGGAGACCGCGGCCTGCTGGACATGGACATGGACGTGGACCACGACTTTCTCCCGACTCCTGGAGCCCTCCGGGGGGTCCGAGGGCGTGGACGCCGAAGCAGGAAGGGGCGAACTCTCAAGCGTGCCGGCCGCCGGCCTCCGCCTCGGGGCCGGCCCGGGCGGCCGCCGCGGCGACGCCGCCGTCGATGCCGCCCCGCAGGTGCCCGAACGTCCGCAGGGCCCCCGACCACTTGAGGATCGGTGCTTCAAGCATGAGGCACGGAGTGCGTGGGAGGCCTGGAGATGCATAGGGCGACGAGATCTATACATATCCACTGCTCCTGGCCAGGCCCATCCTGGGCCCAGGAGCTGTGTATATGCCTCCCTGGCCAGGCTCGGAGGGCGTATACACCGCTCCTGGGCCCAGGATTGGCCTGGCCAGGAGCAGTGGATATGTATAGATCTCGTCGCCCTAAGATGGGCACCAGCACCAACACAGGTGGTTGCCTCCGCAGCGGGAGGACGGCCTGTCCTGGGCGGCGGCGCTGCCCAGGGAGAGCCCGAGGATCGCCACCACCGCCGAGGGCGGGGTCGTCTTCCCTCGGCGCCGAGGCGCACTGCCGATGCTGGTGATGGTGTCAACCTCTACACGTCGTTCATTTCTAATCGTGCGCTTTTCTAATTGTGCTCGTTTCTGATTGTTCCTGGCCCCCCCAGTGGCCAGGAAGAGGCCCAGGATAGGATCTTGGCCCCCCCGCAAAATCAGACAACTTTCAAAGAACTAGAAATGAACAACGCGTACAGCCGGGGCGTTGACGTCAGGAACCCTAAACACGGAACGAGGCCCCTTTTTTCCCATGGGTTAAACTTCGACTTCCCCTCGAAAACCAAAGGAAAGCCTTAGGCAAGCTTCGAACCTATGAAGGAACACCGAGTCCCTTCCCAACGAAAAGGAGGCCTCCGAGTGGGGAAGGGGCAGGAGCTCCTCTCGCGGAGCGCCCTTCCGCGAGAGGCTGCCCGAGGGGCACTCCGCGTGCGCGCGGCGCCGCGTGCTGAGAGCACCCCAGAAAGGGCCGCTGAGCGGCGCCCTGAAAACGACCGACCGTCTCAAACGAGACGCACGCCGATCAGTGGGACGCACAGAGACATACTAATACTAGATGTCCTCCCTGGAGGCGCGCGTCCGACCCGAACATGTAATAAAAACCATCTTGTAGTACATCGTTTCCCGAGCGGTGTGGCCAGAAAGCGCCCGCCACGACGCATATACTAGAAGATTTCTCGGTGCGCGCGTCGCCCCAGGGGGGGGCGACGCACATATAGTATAAGTATGCTGGGGTGACCCCGAATTAGCGAAACCGACTGCGGACTGCACTGGCAAACTCGAATGCCAATGTCGAGCGAACCGGTGCAGGCTTCCCAAAGCGGCTTGACTGGGCTCAGCGTGCGAAGAACGTTCTAACATACACTTATCCGCCGTCGAAGACGCCCGCCCCACCAGCGCCTGGAAAATGTATGCCGTACCGTTCTTCGCCCGCAAATGGGTGGGCGTTCTGGTAATGTCAACGTTTTCTTATGCGGCGTCTCGGCATTGGGCAGAAGGGGGGGAGGTGGGGGTCTGGCTCCGGACCTCTGTTTAGCGAGACTGTTTGGAACAGTGCTCCAACGGGACATCCTATGGGGAGCCGTCCGCCTGCTTGAAGCAGGCGCCCCAACACAGCCAAGATCTACACGTCGTTCATTTCTAATCGTGCTCATCTCTAATCTAATTGTTCCTGGCCCCCTAGTAACCAGGAAGAGGACAGGATAGAACAATTTGAAATGAAATGATCTTGGCCCCCAACAAATCAAAGAACTTTCGAAGAATAAGAAATGAACAACGTGTACTCCAGGGAGGGGGGAGGTATGGGGGGGCTTGGGCCCGCGCCGATCGGCGAAACGTGGAATTAAGAAAACGATCGCACAGTGCCCGAGAGGACCTCGAGGATGGGAGAGGGAGCCCGAGCGGAGCCTTCACTGTGCGAGGCCACTTGTCCTCCAGGCCCCACGCTTGAGCCCCCGAGACGAACTCCTCGCTGCTGCCGCAGTGCAGCCTCGCTGTGCCGCCCCCACCGGCGGCCCTCAGCAGCAGGCCGCCGCCCTCCTCTGAAGAGGGGGGGGACATCTGCGATGGGGGAAAAGAAGGAGGAGGAGGACGGCGGCGAGGAAGAGGAGGAGGAGGAGGAGGAGGAGGAGGACGGCGGCGAGGACGAGGAGGAGGAGGAGGAGGAGGAGGAGGACGGCGGCGAAAGGCGAAGGCGGCGCGGGGCAGGGCCCGGTTTCGACCTGCCCAGCGGGGAGCATATCTCGGGCGGCGGGCTGCCTCCGGTGCAGCCCGGCGCCGGCAGATACGTCGCCGGTGGGCCCCCGATAACAGAACCACACGTTCCTGGGTGGGGTGGGCTGTCAAGGAGGAGGAGGAGGAGGAGAAGGAGGAGGAGGGGGAGGAGGAGGAGGAGGGGGAGGAGGAGGAGGAGGGGGAGGAGGAGGAGGAGGAGGAGGAGGAGGAGGAGGAGGAGGAGGAGGAGGAGGAGGAGGAGGAGGGGGAGGAGGGGGAGGTCGACGCATCCCCCCTTATCCCAGTCCCATCATTGGCGGTTGTCGTGCCCTAACTCGGGCCTCCGGCGGCCCTTCGGGACGATCCAGGCACCCCCGGAGAGCTCTCGGTGAGGCGCGGCCGCTGGGAGGCACCCTGAGGCTGGAAAGCCGCCGAGGAACAGCGTGAACGTCGGAGAACCTCGAACCTCGAACCCGCTGAGCCCATCCCCCCTACCGCTGCACCTGGAGCCGATCCCCCTTGACGTTGCCCCTGATCCTCCACGATCGCCCGCGCCGCCTCGCCCGCGGGGCCCGCCTCCGGCGAGAGGTCCAGCGACGTTATCTCCCACGCCGAGTCCGGCTCCTCAAAAAACTCCAGCACGGCGGCCCCGTCGTCCGCCTTAGATGAAGATGAAACTGCGTGAACATCAACGTTGGGAGCTCCACGCGGATTTCTTGGATCGGCGCTGGGCCCCCTGGCGACGCCTCCGGCGCCGCCCCTGGCGCGCTCCGCGCGCAAGAGAGGGAGGTCCGGCGCCGATCCGAGAAATCAGCGCGGACCTCCGCAAGTTCATTCGTACGTCAATACATTTGTGGGAGATCACCGAGAGAATCATTAAAGACTACTGCGCCCGATTAGGGGGCCATTGAGCCGAATTAAGCCAGATCGAACCCAGGATTACAGTCAACCCGTATAGTTAAGGACGCGCGGAAAGAATGCAAGAGCCTTGGTCGCAAATTTCGAAGGTTTTCGAGCGGGGCGCGGCCAGCGAAAGCGGTGAAGGGTGGACCGAGGAGGCAAGGATGCAAGGGTACCCGTGGGAAGGTTGCCCATCCTTACTATGCGGGTTGACCGTCGGAACCATCACGGTGATCACGGTGATCCCAGCAGACCCGTCTTCGACCACGGATCTACCGGCGCTGATGCTGAATCTGACCTCCCAGGCTGGATGCTCATTCTGGGGACCTTCCTGGAGACACTCGCTCCACTCGTGCGTCGAAGCTGCGTCGAAGGTGAGGCGATTTGAGTCGTCCTTGAGTCGAACCTGAGTCGAATTTTGGACGAACTTGAATTAAACTTGAGACGAGCTGGGGTCGAACTAGAGGCGAACTGATCCGTTTGGTGGGCTCCAGGAGGTCCACAAAACGAGGATGTAACCCAAGAGTTGCATGGCGGAGAAGCGATGGGGGTCTCCACTTCCTTATCCCTCCTCCCTCCCCTGCCCATTCCCCTCCGCCGTCTCGTCCGTTCGCCTGGTTCGCTTGCCCCCCGGCTAGTCTTCCACAGTTTGGTTTCCGCTTGGGGAATTTGTCGGACCGCGAGAGTCTTGGACTCGAGCCCGCCTCGGCCGCGCGGAGCACCGCGAAGCGCGCCACGGGCTTGTCGTCGCCGAGGGACGCGTTCACCACCCCGGCGGCCCGCGCGCGCGTGATGCGGCCCACGCAGCGGGCGAAGCCGTCCTCCAGCTCGTGCATCTGCGCCTCCAGCCGCCGCCTGGCCGCCTCGGAGAAGCGCAGCTTCTCCGAGAGCTGCTCTGCGTCCTGCAGCAGCCGCCTCCGCTGCTCGTCACGGATGCTGGCCTACAGTCGGGGAGACGCACGACTCGGGTTCGGGACTCGGGTTGGCCTGAGGGGACCACCATGAGAAACACGAGACCCCATCTGAAATCTGACGCGAACTCCCGCTGCAAACATCCCGCGAAAACTGAACCGCAACTCTCGGGGACGCGGTCGCCAAAAAGCGTCGGCAGACCCCAACTCCGGCGCACTGGAGTCTTACGTTTCCCCGATCCAGGGCAGCCAAAGCAACTTCAACATACGCTCCCGCAGCTCCGTGAGGATTTCCGCGTATCGTTTATCCGATCCCCACCCCCAGCAGCGTGGCCTGGGCCCCACTGGCCGATTTACCCCCCTAGATGCAAAATATATGTCGTTGCCTTCGGGTTTCGAGGGGTGCGTCCCCAACTGGGGTGGTAATTGGGGGTCTCGAAGGGGATGGGGGGGATGGGGATCGGATAAACGATACCGAGGAAGGGGGGCCGCGGGGAAGGGGGGTTCTGGCTCCAGATCTCTGCGGAATGCGACTGTTTGCAACGATGCGTCCTCCACTGGGGAGGCGGGCTCCGCCCGCTCCACACAGGCGCCAGCAACGGGCACGATCGACTCCAAGCGGGGGGAGGGGGGGGGGGGGCGAGGGCCCGCACCCATCGGCAAAACGATGAACAAGAACACGATCGCATGTATGTTTGTGGATGCCATGACAATGGACACTCTAACAGTCCGATCATTGAATTCAACATGTGTAAAACATGCTGTAAACATGTTTCAACCACGTGTTTTGCATGTTTCAAACATGTTTGAAACATCGTCTGGACATCTGAAGACTAATTCTGCGGCATCGTGCTCCCTCTCCATTGATCGGCCCCCACAGGTGCATATGCAACTGACTCGTCCTCGAGCCTCGTCCTCCAGCTTCCGCAGGTACTGCTGCAGCAGCGTGGCCTCCCTGCCCCGCCCCTCGCCCTCCAACCGCAGCTCGCGCAGCGCCAGCTCGTGCGCGTCGCCCCTCCGCTGCGCCTCCTCGTACCGGCGCTGCCACAAGCCCGCCTCTGGGCGACGAGGGCCTGGGCAGTGTCCGCTGCTCCCTGGCCCGCCCATCCCGCCAGCAGCGGTGGATACGCCACGCCCTCCTGGCCTGGCCAGGAGGGCGCATACACCGCTGCTGGGTTCAGGATGGGCCCGGCCAAGGAGCAGTGGATACTGCGTAGACCTTCGGCGCCCAACGCCTGGGCCGGCTCCCGCTGAGCTCCAGTCAGCTCCTCATGCAGCTCCTCTCGGAGGGCCCAGTTGGGAGCCGCGCCTACACATTCACGAAGGTGCCTGGGCCCTGCCCCATGAGGCTTTGCGCAACCGCCACAGGGCAACGTTTACAGTCGGACCAAGGACAGAAAAGCACCCCTCAAGAACATGAGACCCTCCGCCGACCCAAACCGAAGAACATTCGAGGGTGCCCGCCCCCCAAGGATGCACAAGAACATCCAACGAGCACGAACAACATTAGAGTACCCTCCCCCAACTGGCATTGATCTGAGGCCTCGGTCCGACCGTATGATATCATTTTCTGGCTGGTTCTTCAGACACCAGGCGTCCAGCAAAATACACCCACCCCACCCACCCACCCACACATATATACACACTGCGTTTGGGCCGCCGATTGCCACCAAATGGTGAACAGACAGATCCTAGTACTGTGGACATGCTTCCGGCCCCGACCTGTCGCGACAGCGGCGGCTCTCTCACCCGACCCAGCTCACGAGGGCAAGACGAGCCGCGACCGCCACCAGAACTCCGTTCTCAGAGTTATGTTGCTCCCATCGTACTTAAGGACCACTTCCCAGAAATAATTTCGAGCACCTGGAAAAGTGTCGAAAGAGTGTCGAAACAATGTCGAACGAAGGTCTCCCAGGGCCCGACATGTGAAAAACATCAAGTTTCGGCACTTTTCGGGTGCTCGAAATTCTTCCTGGTGAACAAGGCTCAAGTAGGTTGGAACATCAGAAGCCCAGAGGCCACCCCCGAACTGGTAGCACTCCGTCCCGTGCGCTTCCCGGGCGCGCGCCTGAAACGGGGTGCCACCAGCTCCGGGGAAGGAGCCGCCAGCCCTCTGGCTGGCGGTGGTTCTGTCTCTGGTGGCCAGTCCGGCCCCCATCGTCGCACACGCTGGGCGGGCTCCCGGACTGCTCCCACAGGTTCGGAAGCACACGAGTTGGGTTGCTGGGGGGCCTCTCGGACGTCTTAGTGGTGGCCTCGGGGGCGTTGGCGCCGTCACGGGCCGCCTCGGAATCCTCCTCCCGACCCGTCTAGACCCCTACCGTTCGGGCACGTCCCCCTAAGGGGGGATCTTGGACGAGAAATCAAAAAATCCCCCCCCCAAAATGCTCTAACATAGTAAACAATACTCACAAAATCGTCCCCTGACTAATTCTTTGGCTATTTTTGTAAATTCCTCCTGTGGAGGGACAGGCCCGACCGAACCCTACCGGGGTCCATCCTGCCACGGCGACCTCGAGGCGGCCCCGGCCCTTTTGAAGGGGCCCTGACACACACACACACACACACACACACACACACACACACACACACACACACGCACACACACATACATAGACACAAAGAACAGGATCCCCCATGTTTTCCTTATTTTCTGGGCTTTTGTTTCCCCCCCACTTCCCACACTTCCCCATCTTTGCTGGGGACTCAACGATCAACTATGTCTGTGTGCTCTTCCCTCCTGACCTTTGGTGGCGAGGGGAGCGCCCTCGGGAGGCCGGCGGATGGGGGGGCGGCCGCTGCCACGACTGCGGCGGCCCTCCGCGCGATCCTCCACGCGCCCGCCGAGCAGCTCGATGGCTCAGAGGGGAAACGGAGGAGCACCGCCACCGAGAGCCCATCGGGATGTTAGGAGGCAGCTGCTGGGAGGTCTTCGTCGGGAGGGTTCCGAAGAGGCTTGAGCCCCACTGGGGGGGCTGCTGCGCCGGAGTGGGCCTCGGGCTAAGCCGCATGCAGCGGGATCCAGCGGGATTGAACCGGATTGAGCGGGATTGAGCAGGAGTAAACCGAATTGCGGATCAGGCCGAATCAGAATCTGACCTCCCAGGAGTGGCATCCGACCCACCGAGAACCCATGGGGATGGAACCCACCTCTGGGCGGTGGCACGCCCCTGGCCTGGGAGGTCAGGAGGGAGGGGGAAGGCCTCTCAGAGGGAGGCTGCTTCTCAGAAGGCGCCGGCCGTACATCTAGATGAGGCCCGCCCCTTCTAAGAAGCAGGGGTGCTTCGAAGAAGCTTTCCCCCTGCCCCTACCCTTAGGTTGCTCCCATCCTGCTTAAAGACCATGTCCCAGAAATGATTTCGAGCATCCGGAAAAGTGTCACAAGAGTGTCGAAAGAGTGTCAGGCGACTGCCTCCCAGGTTCCGACACGTGAACACCCTGGGATTTCGGTACTTGTTCTGGCGCTCGAATTCTTCCTGATGGTCAAGGCTAAAGTAGGCTGGAACAGCATAGCCCTACCCCCCCTCTGCGCGCGACCGACATCGGGGGGGGGGGGCACACCCGGGCGGTGGCACGCCATACCGTCCACCCAGCACCGGACGCCCAGGGGTGGGGAACGCCCCCGCCCAGAGCTGCCCCCGCCCTGGGGCTCCTCGAGATCCGACGTTGCCACAAGATATAGCCTTGCGAACACCTCGCGCCTGGTCTCGTCCGCCTTTCTCGAGCCGGATCGGCATGCGATGGCCCCGGGGGCCTGCACCTGGGCCGAGCACAACGCGCGGGGTGAGAGAGCAAGCCCAGCGCCCGCACCCCAAGGGCTCCCGGTGGCAGTGGCCACCGCTCCTCCTCCGAGGATGGTGGCGTCCCGCTCCTGATGGGCAAATGTTCCACCACCACTACCGTAGTTTGGAGAGGGAGGAGGAGGAGGAGGAGGAGGAGGAGGAGGAGGAGGAGGAGGAGGAGGAGGAGGGGGAGGAGGAGGAGGAGGAGGAGGAGGAGAGGAGGAGGACCTCCTCGTCCTCCCGCCTCCCCCCCCCCCCCTGCATATGGCAGCGGTGGTGGAAACTTTGCCCCTCAGCTCCAGCAGCGCGCTCTCCAGCGCCGCCAGCTCCTCGCGTAGCGCCGCCGCCTCGGCCCCCCCGCCGCGTGCCGGCGCGGGCGAGCCGCCGTGCGGCGAGGCCGCGGCGGCGCGGCGGCTCGGCGGCTCGGCGGCGGCGCGGCGGCCGTCGACGCCGAGGCCCTCCACGTCGCGGCGCAGCGTGGCGAGCTTGGCGTGCAGCAGCGACTGCTCCGCCCGCGCCGCGGCGACGGTGCCCGCCGGGGAGGCCGCCTCTCGGCGGGCGAGACCCGGGACCCCCCATCGACAGTCGTGAAAGAATCGCGACGCAGGGTTTTCTTCGACGCTCGGCCTCTGGGGGCCCTCGCCAGGCCTCGGGACCGTCGAAGAAAAACAACTCGGGTTGCACCGCCGGGCCCGGGAGGTGGGTCGAGGCCTCTGGGGGCCCGCGCTATTAGACAAGTGCGTTCCACTACTCGCAAATAAGCTTCTCGCAAATGGCCATGATCCGCCGCAGCGGAAATACGATAAGCAGACAGACACACACCCACATACATACATATATATATATATATATATATATGATATACTATACATATATATCTATAATATATATATATATATGAATACAATATATATATATATACAGATCACAAGGCAGACGTATGTTTCTGGACGCTTGCGAGCAGGCACTTGCGAGAGGCGGAAAACGCTCCGCGAGTTATATATAAAATATCATGACGTCGTGGGGTCTGGGGCGATGAGCCCCGAGGACACTGCGCTCCAGCACAAGCTCAAACACAAAAGCTGGGGGGCCCGATTCCTGCCCGCAAAAAAAAGAAAAAAAAAAAAAAAAAAAAAAAAAAAAAAAAAAAAGAAACAAAAGAAAAAAAAAAGAAAAAAATAAAAAATAAAAAAAAAAAAAAAAAAAAAAAAAAAAAAAAAATAAAAAAAAAAAGAAAAAAAAAGGGGGGGGCCCATGCCCTGCTGGCCCCGTCCGTGAACCGCCTCTCGGCGGCTCACAGATGGGGATCTACGAGGACGGGAGACCTCCATAACAGTGCAAGTTCAGCCCGGGGCCCCTTCCTGCCCGCGTGGCGCCATGCCCCCAGGGCCCCGTCACTGGGCCGCCACTCGGCGGTGCAGGGATGGGGGCCAAGAGGAAGAGCGGCCTCTTACAGCGTACTTAAGGTCAGCCTGGGACCCCTTCCTACCCGCCGGGCCCCATGCCCTCCTCGGGGGCGTCCAAGAGGGTGGCGTCCACGAAGGGGGGGGGGCGGGAACCTCGTGGCCCGAGGCACATGCGCGGACGCGGGGGGGGGAACAGGGGACGCACTGAAACAAGAGGAGACGCCATGACATCTGGGGAGGCATCGTGGCCTCGGCCATGATATCCAGACCGTCCTAGTCATCACCCCCTCTTGCGAGGGCGAAACTTGTGCCCGTATCCGCTGCAGCGTGGCGTTTCGGGCTCCCTCCCCCAGAAGCCCGAGGCGCACTGGATATGGACGTAAATCTTGCCCGCATCTCGGCCTCCCCCGACAATTTCAGCCTGGGACGCCTTCCTACCCGTGGAGCCCCACGCCCCCAAACCGCAACATTGAACCGCCGAGCCTCGCCGCTCCCGCCGCTGGCCTGCATTTGCCGCCGCTGGTAGCGAGCGCCGGCCCCAGAGCTCCAACGCATGGAACAAATCAATACGGAGGCTGTTCGTAGCGTCCGGCCTCCGGCGGCCAGAGCGTTACTGGTGCTACTCGCAGATGCCAGAACGGCCGGTTCGTTCCAACCGTCCCCATGATTCGGGGTTGGACAGACCCCCCTTTAGTAAAACGTGGTTTAGTGAAAACGACCTGAGGCCCAAACCTGGCGGGCGCAAGCCTGGAAAATAACGGCCACGGCGCCCTCTCGAGAACCGAATCGACGTGTCACGAATCGACGTGTCACTGTTGGGGGTTCTGTCCACCTCCGAATGATTCAACAGCAGAAAGGGCAATCCGGCAGAGCAGTCTCGCCGCTACTTGCGGAGGCCCCGGGACGCTGCAGGAATCTGCCTTCGGGGAGCATGCTTCTGCACTCCCGCCCGCAGGAGGCCCCAGGAAACACGTTTCTGTTCTGGGATGTGTTCAGGGAGCGCTTTCCGGCCCCTCCGCTCACAGGAGGCCCCAGGAGACACTTGTTTATTATAGAAACGATCGGGGGGCGCTTTTTTGCCCCTCCAACCCGAGGGGTCCTCAAGAGGCCCAAGGAGACGTTTTCCTGCATTGGGATATGTGATATGTGTTTGGGGGGCACTTTTCGGCTTCCGTAGGCTTCGCATCCGCAGGCTTCGTCGCCACTCCCCGGAGGTTCGAATCCTTTGTGTGTTGTACGTATGTTCCTACCTTTTGTTCCTCGGATGGGGCTCGAATCCGTTTGTGTGTTACGTATGTTCCTTGAGATTGCCCTCGACTGGGGCTCGAATCCAACGCGTTTTGCTCAAGTTCCTATAAATTGCCCCTCTCCTGCGGCTGAAACCCTTCGCGTTTCGAATCCTCACCGCTCCCCGAAATCGCACTGACTTGTTGCGTGTCGTGCGGGCTGAAAGTGCCAAACTACCTCGGGAGAGGTTCTGGCTCGACCTTCTTGTGCGGGAAATCTGGGTGTGGGACTTGTCCGCCCAGCGACCCACCCGCGACCCACCCGACGCCCGCCCCCATCACTGCCATCCGAAACAACGGGTGTGCTACGTACCCATGATTCCCGTACGCGTCGTTCATCTCTAATCGTGCTCATTTCTAATGGTGTTCGTTTCTAATTGTTCCCGGCCCCCTAGCGGCCAGGCAGAATGCCCGGATAAAACAAAAAGAAATGAAAGGGGCTTGGCCCCCCCAGAGAATCAGAGAACTTACGAAGACTCAATGCGTGCCTACCTCGATCGCACGGGCGAGAAATCCATACGTCGGATCTCTGGGGCAGGCTCTGCGCCGGCTCTCAGGCCGCCGGCCCTGCGCCGGCGGGGCGTGCGCGCGGCGCAGGGCGGGGCGCCATGGAAAGCTCTCGGGCCGCCCTGGTCGGGGCCGAGCTGCCTGGCCCGAGGCTGGAGGAGGAGGAACCGGAGGAGGAGGAGATAGAGGAGGAGGAGGAGGAGGAGGAGGAGGAGGAGGAGGAGGAGGAGGAGGAGGAGGAGGAGGACGAGTATAAGATGAGGAGAAAGGGGGCGCAGAGGAAGAGTATGAGGCGGAGGTAGTGAGGTGGGGATGCGGTAGGAGAAGGAGGCTGAGTTAGGATGAGGAGGCTACGAGGAAGGACGAAGGAGGGAGGGCTGGATGAGGGAAGATGGAGCCATGAGGAGGACGAGGAGGTGCGGGAGGTGGAGGCTGGATATTGGGGGAAGGGAGGAGGAGTGAGGAGGGGGAGGAGGAACGAAGAGGAGGAGGAGGACGAGGAGGGGGAGGAGGAGGAGGAGGAGCGACCGTCCCAAAAAGGGAACCGACGAGGGCAAGCGGGCAAGACGCGAGAAGAGGGCAAGTGTCCCCGCTCCAGTTCGTCTCAGGCTACGGCCTATCACGTGCAGTGCAGCGGCTCGGTGCTCAGTGCCAGTAGTGTAAAGAAGCGCGGCGCTGGGCACGGCGTGCGCGATGATGCGCAGTTTGTTGTAGAAGTGAAATGGAAGTGCTGTCCGACGGACAGCCTCAGGAATAACGTGCTCAGGGTTAGCGTGTTGCCCAGGCGTCCCTAGGCCGATGCGAAAGAAAGGGTCCGAGGAAAGGAAGGAACGAGGTGACGCGAGGAAGTGACGGAGGCGGGGACAGGTGAGGCAATGGCCGAGACGATCTGGGCAAGCATCGCACCCGAGCAGACAAGTGCGGCGCGGGCCGAAAGGGAAGCGGTGGCTGGTCCACCATGCTCCCGCCAACGTCACATTTACGGCCCAGCGGATTGCTGCGGCCCTCTACGAGAGGTGACTGGCTAATGCCTGCCAGCGGTCGGACAGATTCCGCGGCACCAGTAGATCAAGTAGCGCCGATGAGAGACGGCGGGCAAGAGTCTCAGCGAACTTGTCGGGGAAGAGGGGGGGAGTGGAGGACCGAGGCGAGAGGGCGCTGGGCCCTGGCACGCCTGGATTCTTGGGCAACGGCAGTCTTTTCACGTGCGGCCACTCGCTGAGCTGCACGCAGGGCGAGCGGTGAGACCGAGTGTCGTGGTTTGCAGTCAGCAAGCCCGCGCCAGTTTTCGACGATGCCAGGGCACTTCCAAAATGCGGGAGAAACGGCGGCCCGAAGACGGGCCTGGGCCAAATCAACCAGGCTCAGTTCTAGGTTGAGCTTGTTTTGAGCAAGTACTGAAGAGCGATACAGTGGCTTCCTGTCGGGAAGCGCGACAGATGCCGTGCGCCACGCTGAGGCCAGTGAAAGCGTGCTCAGCGAGTTGGGGGACAACGAATGCGACCACGAGCGAGCACCGAGGAGGTCGACGAGGCGCCAGAAGGTGGGGGGAAACCTTGCAAGTTTATGTAGGGTGCCACGTTCGCGCCTCTGGAACGTGGCTGGAAATGGAAAATCCTGCGTGGGGTACGAGAGGACAGTGATAACACATGTGTTGTACATTTTGAGCGCCACTGCGGGGCCAGGGGCGCTCGCCGCTACTTGTACAACGCGCAGCCAGTATCTGCCAAATGCGGCGTTCCATAGGATGTCTAGGGTAAATACTGGGCCACTAAGCACGCGTAGATCGCATGCGCATTCTGCAATCTGAATGTGCTGCCACTCAGGCGCTAGAAACTAGAAAAACTAAGAGGCGTTGAGTGGGGGAGTGCACGGCAGGTGCAAAAGGGGCCCATAAGGGCACAATCACTGTCTTCTGGATCTTTAGTTCGAGTCCCGCGAGAGTAGCAATGGCCCGAAACGGGAGAAGGAGGAAAGGGAAGGTCCCAAAGTGGGCGACGACGAGGCCCAGGCCATCTGCGCAGGCACCGAGCTCGTTGGATCCAGTGGGCGTTGATAATCTGAACTGGGTGTCTTATGGGAGCATCAAAAGCCAGGGCCCAAATCGATACCGAGAGAGGGCAGCCCTGGAGAACACCTGGGCCTATTCCGAGCATGTGTTTTTTTGAAGACGACCACCTACGCGGAACAGGCCCTGGGGGAGTGAGAAAGAACAAACATGCCACTGAGACAGCCTGGAAGAACCCCGTGAGCTACCAGCGATGCAAACAACAACTCCCAGCCTAAGGATGGGAAAGCAGCTTTCAGATCAAAGCTGACAGGAATAGGGAGAGCATATCGTGCCTCTGGGGAGTGACCCGCTCTACGGGCATCAGAGTCTAGGACCAGTGCATGGTGTCCAAGGTTTCGCCCCTTTTTATTACAGCATCCTGTCGTGTGTCTATATTCCGATCCCTGACCATGTCCACGGGAACCATATTCACGACATGAGCGATGAGTTTGGCGTCGCAGTTCTTATAGGAGAGCGGGCGAGTGGCACCTGGTGCTCGAAAAACGGCACACTGGTCCTGGGGCTCGCCTCCTTTCGGAAGAAGCGCGAATTCCGAGTCGTTGAACTGATTCGGGGCCAGGCCCGCTTCGAACGTCTGCATCATGAGGTCATAGAAGTATCTGAGCGGATCCAGGCGAGGTGGCCCATGCCGCGTATGGAATCTGATCTGGGCCTGGAGCGGCATGTCTGACCTTGCGGAGGGCCCTCTGGAAATCCTGAAGAGCTGGGGCCCGTAGGTCCGCGCAATCGAACTGGGGGGGGGGCGCTGGGACAGGCGCTGCTGAACCGCCACGGGGCCCGCAATCTTGCTCGAGAAGATGGGCTGCCAGAACTTCTGGAGGCCTCCGAGAATACCCTCTGGGGAACTGGTGGTGGCGAGGGGTGCTGTAGGCGCCCCCTCTTTCGGCATCCTAAGTCCTGAGAATACGTGTCGACGGCGAAACGGATTCCAGGCCTGAGCCCGGCGCGCGAGCTGCATCGGCCTTCCGACAGCCGGACTGGTCCAGCTGCATCTCGGCGTTGGACTGCAGCTGGCGCCTCGCGGCGAGTGCGACGCGCCTGTCGTAGTCGGCGGTGGCCGCCGCGTCCATCAGCTTGATATACTCGTCCCTGTTCGTGAGCTTGGCGCTGTCGCCCGTGAGGATCAGGTGCGCACTGCCGATGCCGGTCGCGGCCATAAGGAGCGACGCTGTGTCTGAATCCTTTCGCCAAATCGCCCGTGGGATTGCACGTGGGCCTGCCATGTTTTGCCCATCGAGTATGGTCATGATGGGGGGCGCGTTGCTGAGGGTTGCGAGTGAGCCTCGCCGCCTCGTTAATGATGAGCTCGCGCTGCTTCCAGGCTGCGCTAGGCGTAAGCGCAGCCGTGGCAATGTTGTCCTTCAGAGAGTTGAAGTGGCGCTGGTAGGTGAGGTCGGGGAAGATGATCGGGTCGATAGCTTGCTCTTCTGATCGCGAGGCTGAAGCGCTGGCCAGAAGCAGGCGCAGCATGGCGTGATCGCTGAGGCCTTTGTCAGATAGAGCCGCACCGTCTTTGTGAATCTTCAGGTGCGCGTCCACATTCATCAGGTCGGTTCCTGAGAGGGATATGGAGATGCGGTCGATTGCCGTGGCCTCTTGCGCGTTGGCCGAGAAGTGCGCGGGGAGGTCGTGCTTGACCTCTGTGA